AAAATAAATTAGAGTTCTAACATTAAATTATCTTATTTTATTTAATTAAAAATCAATTTAAAATTTAAAAAGCTATCTTAAATATTAATATTTCTGTTTATAAACTGATTATATTAGAATGAAAAATGATTTTTGTACAATCTTTTTGTCTCACTTTTTGTACAACTTGATGTGTCATTTAAATTATTGATTCTTTTAATTCACATGGAACTTGTGATATTGAATGCATCCACTCATTTAATGACATATGAAAGTTGTATAAAAAGGTAGTATAAAAATGTTGTCCCTATAACACTATCCTATTAGAATATATAATTTATTTTAAAATCTAAGTATCAGTATTTAATATGATGAATTTTTGAATTTTAAATTAAGATTTTGGTTTCTAAATATAAATAAGGATTTTAATTTTTCTTAAAATTGAGACTGATACATACTAATCTCGAATGTTCGGTTTAAAATTCTTTTTTTCCTTGTGACATTAGGAATTGGGGGGAAAAGTTAATATTTTTCTAGTTCAAAGGAAGTGTTAAACTCCTAACTTAGAAACTCCAAACTGTTAGATTTTGAGGGTGAATAAATTGTCTTATTAACGGTTGATTGTACTTTGAAATTATTATTATTATCATCTTACTTGTATTGCATGATAAAATGTTGCTTTTTTTCATTTTTCAATTCACTTTATTTACATGTCATGTGATTTGAAATCATGATTTTTTACTTCTATTAAAAGGAGATTATTATTAAGTTATTTAAATTATTACTACTATAAAATTATGTTGGATTAATGGATTTGGTTGAATATTATACATTCCTTAAATTTTGGTATAAGGAATTGATCTAGCTAGTATTGTTAAAGGTGTTAAAATTTTGAGATCTTAAATATACACACTATTGCTTAGAAGTTAGATGTACTGAATAATATTATGATCGCCCTTTTTGTTACATAAATTGATTACACAAGATAACCCTTTCGAATCACATTTATCCTTCCTTTACAAGTTCTAGATACAATTATTAATGGCTTACACCAATTTAATTAGTTGACACATTCCATTAACTATAACCTTCCGTGGCCCAGGGTAAGAAAGTACCAGGCTAATCAATTATTCACAAAAATTTCTTAAAAAAAAAAAAAAAAGGCTACTAGAGTGTCACCATAATTAGAAAATTTATGATAAATTATTCTTTTATTAATCTTTTTAAAAAATTAAATATTGTTAGTAAAATTGAGAGCAAACTTTCATATCAATTACACCACACAATTCATTGAGTTTAATCACAAAATTTCTAATTAATTACTTTATAATTACCAATTTATGTTAGGTGGTGGGAGATTAAACTCCGTACCTTGTTTTGATTGAAGAGCAGGTCACGAGCGTTGACAATCAACCTTTTGATAGACATTATAACTTGAATTTAAACCCAAAGTGTTTGCAATCCCATCATCCATTAAAGCAAAAGGTCAATTTTTACCTTAACCCTATTTAGTTTAATTGTTAACTCCAATCTTATAAATATAAATATTTAATTTATAAACAATAATAGGCATAAGTTGTTGTTAAATATTCATCATGAATTAAAAAACCACAAACTAAAAAGCTGCCTTTTCAACTAAATTATTATTATTTTTAGTAGAAATTGAACACAATTATT